CTGTAAACATTCTTAATCATGAATAGGGTTTTTTCTTTTTTTTTCTTTTTCATGTCTGTGTTGAATTAAATTATATATTACTACCAAATTGACAAAGAGTAATGCTATACTTATCATATTTTTATCCCACATTTTTATACCACATGATGTAGCATGTCCATATCATATGCCACATCAATTAAATGAATGAAGTGTATTTAAATAAATAAAATTTGAAAAACAGAAACTAGTATTTTACATGATGTGGTATGTACATATCAGATGCCACATCATGTGGTATGAAATTGTGGTATAAAAATGTGGTAAGACTAGTATTATTCATTGACAAATACTAGTCTTCGAGAGAAAAGAACAACATATACGAACCGATTTAATGATTTGGTTTTCCTTCCTTGCACGAGTCTGAGACTGAGAATTCAGAATTCTTCTTGCCTCATTAACTGCATGTGTGGGGGTTGGGAGGATGATTAGTTGGACTGGATAATTTTCCAAGTTATGCTGAAAATGACTGTTAATATTAAATTGTTTTATTTGGTTATTATGGTTGTAATTGCTTAATTCCAAAAAAAAAACATAAGTATCAGATTTGACTTGGAAAATGACTAACCTGTGAAAACTGTTAAATGATTGATATACGTGGCTATATATATATACAGAGAGCTTTCATTGAGGGACCCCTTAAATAAGCTTATTTGAGGAACACCTCTTATAGGGTCTACTCCGGATTGTATTTCACTAATCCAAACCATCTATTTTGTAGATACTCATTCAAAGATCATCTCTACAAAAAATCACTTGAATCCGATATCATTTGACCACTCAATTGAGTTATTGAAATTTTAGTACTTTCTTGGAGCACCGTGTTCATTGATTTTATAAGACACAATTGGATGTCAAAACGGTTTCCGATTTATCTAATTTTTTGTAAGGATGATCCATGAATGAAGACCTAAAAAATAGATGGTTTGGATCATTGGGAAAAAAATTGTAGGGTACCCTAAAGGGCGTCTCTCAAATAAAATTACTTGAGGGATCCCTCAATAGAGAGGGACTGTATATATATTGGAAGAAAAGCTAATGATGAAATATTTTAAAAATTAAAAATAATAAAAGCTTTTGACTTTTTCATTTTTCTTTTACTAAACCCCATGTTAATTTTTTTTTTCCCAGTAAGTAGTGTAAGAATCAATAGAGTTTGACAAATGTTGTTAGAAGTATATATCAAAGAGCAAAATACAGATTTTGTGTCACAGCATAAGTTGGGAAAAAAAAATAAAGTAAAAACAATTCAAATTAAATGGGTTGGTACTTGGGCCTGAGCATGGGCACTGCCCGAGCACGGGCACGATCCATTTCAATGTGGATTTAGGTTTTAGGTTGTGCTGGAATCAATGGTTTTATTAAATAAGCCAGCACGACGTGCCCCGATAAAAAACAGGTATAGGGATGAGTTCAGGGAATTTTTCGGGTTTGATATTCGGGGAGGGGCGGGGATAGTATTCTAATCACCAACCTGAACCCTCCTCGTTTAGATTATATATATATAAATTCATATTAAGATGTGTGATGGTGGTGCTAGTACCTCTATATAATGATGATCATATCTTGGACATATAGTTTTGACATTATTAATATAATTTTTTTTCTTCTAAATAATCTAGATTTTTAATTAAATACAATTAAATTGATACAAATCTTGTGCTAGTGTTTTTTAATCGATCAATAATATCACATATTTGTAGGGATGACAATGGGTCGAATAAGGGGTGAGTAGTGGCGGATCCAGGAATTTACATTCTGGGGGTCAACATGTAAAAGGTAAAAAAAAAATTCTATACAAAATAGACCCATTGAAATGAAACGATAATATTCTAATTCATAGTTAATAGATAAAAACCGTACAAAATACTTATGTTCATCATTAAAGAGAACTACATCAACTTTAAAAAAGAAGAAGTCAAACCAAAAATATCTCTAAGAATATGATAATAAACCAAAACATTAGCGCAATCCTCTTTACCTCCCAAAGTGTCTCGTCCTATTTGACTTAAAAGATGACATATATTAGCGCAATCTTGCTCATTTTAGGGCATTTACGTCATTTTTGAGGTCCGTCATCGTTTTGATTTTGGGCTTTATCTGCATTCCTTTTGGGCTCTAACTCTCAAACTTTGGACCCTTATGAGTACTGCCTTAAGGGAAGCTTATTCAAGTAAATATTTCTTCAATACATAAGAGTTAGGTTATTCTTGTAAAACTCTTTGTGAATTGAACATCTAAGGCTTTTTAACTAAATTGACCTTAGGTCACTTTATTCATTCATATCATACATGGAAAATTGTTTTTATGTAAAAATATTGGCTAAGTATGAAAAATGGTAATAATTTTTGGCGGCTTTTATTCCTTACACATCAAATAAGAAAACTTGATTTTATGGGATTTTAGTATGAAGTATATTGACTTAATGAGCCATCATTTTTAGCCTAAATCGTATTTTGCACTAAAATCGATTTTTCATATTTTGATTTGGTGAGAATTTGATTTTCTAATATTTTTCTTTGAATCCAAATGAGAGGTACTTTCTTATTTACATTGTAAACTTAAGTAAATTGAGTAATATAAAAATAAATGAAAGTAAAAGGACAAAGACATTTACTTATATGTTTAGAATGAAAATAAGGCAATAAAAGGGTATGATGTGCTGTGCTGCTGTGCTGTGCCCTCTGGAGCATTTCATCAAGCAGTTTGTGAACAATTTGCAAGGGTCAACATCTTCGCCGCCAATGATGAATTTGGGGCTTACAGTGGTCAATTGACCCCTATTGCCCCTACGTGGATCCACCCCTGAGTATGTCATTCCTGTCTCCATCCTCGTTAAACATTTTACCACAATCCCCACCTTCGCACCTATAATATTTCAATCAATCTCTACCTTCATTGGAGAATGAGTTCCTTGATCTATGGATAAAAAAAAGAAAAAACAAGTCAAATATGACAGACGAGGAAATTACTGTTGTTCGTACTGTCCATAACGGTGCCACTTAAAAAATAATAATAATCAAGGGCACAACTGAGAAGCATGTTTTATGTATCATATTAGGACGTGAGCCTATTTAAATAATTTAAAATTTTCAAAAAAGCATCAGATATAGTCATATTTAATACATCAACCGTGTTTGCAGTAAGCGATCGAATCAAAACACATTATAATAATATAAACAATGGAGTTGCCCTAGATTTCGTCCAAGTAACCTATCCATGGTTCCTAGGTTTGTTTGATGTACACCACACAAATTAGCTTGCAACTACCCCAACTGTGTTGACTTCTATTATATGAGTAAATAATTCATAGATGTGTTGAAAATTTATAGTCGCTCTACTCCCATCATCCATCATAAACGGTGAGTGTTTTTAACTCTTTCAATTATTTATCCCTTATTATATGTTTTCTTATCAAATTGTCTATTATGATATGTTGCTACATCATCGACCCAAATTATTAATTAGATGAATTTTTGTTTGAGTGTACTTCGAAGAGTATAGTTTAATAACATAACATATAAAATTCTAATTAACAAGTTCTTATAAACAATAATACTTTGCAGACAACGAGAGAATTATAACTTGCAAGAAAGACAAAAGGCAAAAAAGTGAAGCGGAAAAGATTTGGAAGAAAGTAACAAAGATATAGGCAGGTAGACTGACTGAAAGTTGCGTAGTTGACACACACGAGGTACCAAATCAACCAACTTGTCTTCACGAGACTTCTTCTGAGTCTTCCCTCCAGGCCCCAAATCCAAGAAAGAATCAAGGAAAATAGAAATCATAAACTTTCCAAGAGACTTTTCCATCTAACCCGAAACCATCTAAAAGTGAATTCTTTGGGTGAATTTGACCAACCTAACAAGCTTACATTACATCAAATACGTTAATTATCGTTCGGTATAGTGAGAGTGTCTCCGCTTTATTACAGATGTCAAAGGAGGTCATGCATCCAAATGTCAGCAACGAAAGGTTCGATAAAATAGCAGCCATGCATTTAGTACGAAAGAGAGGTGCGATGTTTCCTCTGTTTGGTCTTGTTGAGCCCTGTTTGCTTACTGGTAGGTAAAACGTGCTCAACGACACAAGCGATATGTGGTGGTTTTGATGGGAATGGAACCTCAACTCCCGCTGATCTGTGGCACCAATTCAGGCCCATAGTGGATGAGAAAGGATCTTTCTAGCTATTGGTTCTCTCAAAAACCAGAACCTAATTATAACTGCTTAAAATTAAATATATTAAACGTGTAAAAGTCAAAGAAGCAATAAAATTCGAGATCACAATGGTACTTGTACGGACTTATAGCTCTAGTGGCAAAAAACATAAACACTTACGACAAGAGTTTAACTTTTGCCCTTTTCTATTGAATACAAAGAATGTGGATTTACGAAACCAAATAAATTATTAGGGTAAGTTAGGCTCAAAAGTTTAGAATATTAGCAAAAGGCTAGTCTCTCAAATGGATAAAAGTAATTACACCTGAGATTGATCGTGTACTCGATTCTCCCCTCCCAATATCATCTCTACAGCACAAAGTCTGGATTATTAGTCCAGTGAAATAAGGTACAATTGGAAGTGGTTCCAACACAACTTCTAGAAACTGAGTTAGTAATTGGAATGCAACTAATCAACATGTGCCCTTAATCTATATACCATGCTTGGGGGCCCTCTTTGTTTAGGGTAGCCAAATGTGTGATTAATTATTAGTTTTTAGACCAAAAACATAAAACAAATTAGTTTCAAGAACAATGCATTTAAATGCTATAGTTAGGCACATATGAAATTGAGAAGTGAAGAACAGAAGTCTTGTAGCTGGCACTGTTTGAAACTCTGAAAGGACTGTTAGGATTGTAGCTTACCCTCCAGTCAAACCTCCCTTGTATGAGAAGTCTGGTGGGTGAGAAGGTCACATGGACAACAGACCCAAAATCACACAAAATCAACACAAACACATTCCCCACTCTCTCTAACACACACAGACACTCTCTCTTGTTGGTAAGAAGTTCCCCTTGAAATATCTCTGTAAGCACCTCCAACTACTAATTTGGCTATACACTACTATAAAAGCAACATTACTAATACACCATTAAACCATTGCTTCATCAATCCACCATAATAAAAGATTATAGGCCTGCACTTTTAGTGTAAAAAAAAGCTATTAAAGAAAGCTAGCCAAGAGTTCAGAGCTTACGAAGAGCCGGCTGCCAAAATGGTGAGCTCTGATTCAGTGGACTCAAGCTCTGATTCAGTGAACTCAAGAGTTGAGACCTTGGCCAGCAGTGGAATTGCAACAATCCCAAAGGAGTACATCAGACCCAAGGAAGAGCTCGTAAACATCGGTGACATCTTCGAACAGGAGAAGAGCACTGATGGGCCTCAAGTTCCCACCATTGATTTGAAGGAGATAGACTCTGAGAACGAAAAGGTGAGAGAGAGATGCAGGGAGGAGTTGAAGAAGGCAGCAGTGGACTGGGGTGTCATGCATCTTGTGAACCATGGCATCTCCGATGAGCTCATGGACCGTGTCAGGAAGGCTGGGAAGGCCTTCTTCGATCTTCCCATTGAGCAAAAGGAGAAGTATGCCAATGACCAGGCCTCTGGCAAAATTCAAGGCTATGGAAGCAAGCTTGCAAACAATGCCTCTGGGCAGCTTGAGTGGGAGGACTACTTCTTCCACCTTGTATACCCTGAGGACAAGCGTGACTTGTCCATTTGGCCTCAAACACCTGCTGATTACAAGTAAGTACTCAAGGGAAAAAAAAAAAAATTCTCATCATGCTTAATTGAATGAAAATTTTGAACATATCTTAGAAAATAACACAACATTCTTTAACGAATTATCAATTGTTTACATTACTTTCTTTTCATAGATATCAATATTCTGTCTTATCAACAATTTTGTTTTTTCAGACCCTCAATATTTCTGTTAACATAGATAGTTAATACCTTTGCAGTGAGGCTACTGCCGAGTATGCTAAGGAACTGAGGGCCCTAGCAACCAAGGTACTACGCGTGCTGTCACTTGGGCTGGGATTGGAAGAAGGGAGGCTGGAGAAGGAAGTTGGGGGGCTTGAGGAGCTTCTCTTGCAAATGAAAATCAACTACTACCCAGTTTGCCCTCAGCCAGAGCTTGCACTTGGTGTTGAAGCTCACACTGATGTCAGTGCACTCTCCTTCATACTCCACAACATGGTTCCTGGCCTGCAGCTTTTCTATGAAGGCAAGTGGGTCACTGCCAAGTGTGTTCCAAATTCCATTGTCATGCATATTGGGGACACCATTGAGATTTTGAGCAACGGTAAGTACAAAAGCATTCTTCACAGAGGAATGGTGAACAAGGAGAAGGTGAGGATTTCATGGGCAGTTTTCTGTGAGCCACCAAAGGAGAAGATCATCCTTAAGCCGCTCCCGGAAACTGTGTCGGAGACTGAGCCGCCAATCTTCCCACCAAGAACTTTTGCTGAGCACATTCAGCACAAGTTGTTCAGGAAGAGTCAAGAGGCTCTGCTCAACAAGTGAAGCTACTTATATTAGTTATCATATTATTGTGAAATTATCGTACTTATGAAGCCATTTATGGCTTAGTTTGGATATGATATATCTTGGTTGCCATGTATCTGCTCTTCTAGCTACCGTCTACCTGCTTTGTTGAATAATATTTATTTTATTTCCCTTGTACCTGTGATTAATGGCTATTTCTAGTCCAGATCTCATTATATGGGTGGTCTCATTTATCTTATTTTATGTAACTTGGCATCTTCAAGTTTGGTATATATGAGTGCTTCATATTGTTTATTAAGCTGGAAAATTTACAAGTGAGATTGCACCAAGGCAACCATAATGCAATCCATTTTAATATTTTGGAAAGATAAAAATGTCTTTTTTCTTTCTTTCTTAACTAATGAGAACAATTTCTTCCTTCATTTTTTTTAAGAAGATGTACCACTTACCCATACCCCGTCAGAAGCACACATGATCCAATGATTTATATTAGATACATTGTTTCAATTCTATTTCGAATACATTTTACCCAAGTGTATTTATAGTTTTTAATCTAATTTAGCTTTATTATAAAATCTATCATAATGGACCCTAAACGAATTTACTGGATATTAAGTGAGTTAATAAAATTGACACAATTTCCCTAATAAATCAATAAATAAATGGACACAAATTCGTTCAGAGTTCAGAAATTTATGGACGTCCCCTGGCATATTATAATGATACAACATACTATGTTTCTAACTAGTTCTGGATGTGGCCAAAAGAATAATATTATGAGAACTGAGGTACGATAAAAATTAAAGAGCAAAGTTGAGGACAGTCGTTCACGCGCATATTGGTGACTTTATGGACGTTGATCCACGACGGGACAGAAATCCATTCACAACTTACGTAGTCAAACTCAAGGCCAATATCAACTATAAAGTCCTAATCTCCTAGTTATATACGAGGGTGGTTTTTGAAAATTAAACCACCAGTCTATGGCATGGTCTCAACCAAATTCTGGCGGGACAGACGATTTGAGGTCAAAGTATTTATATAATCATAAAGTTATGATTAAACTTTAGATTACAACTTGTACTTAGAGCATCTCCACCCAAGCTGTCAAAAGCCAGGTGGAGTGCTAAAAGTCTAGAAAAGGTGGTTAACTCATATCCACCCGAAGTGTTATATCCGACATGTAAATAACGTTTTCTAAACCAACGACAATTTTGACAACAAGTAACAAAGACGTTATTTCAATTATCGAGAGTTTTTTAATGAATGGACCCCGCATGCTGTGTATAAAAGTGACTTTTTCAAGCTTACATATGCTTTTCTCTTACCATATTTTCTTTGTTTTTTTATTTATTCTTTAATAAAATAATAATTTTATTTAACAGTTCAGATGGAATAAGAAGTTGTTCATGATGTTAAGTTAAATAATTTTATTTAACAGTTCGGGTGAAATAAGAAGTTATTCATGATGTTAAATTAACACCTAGCCGTCAAATTCAAATGTGATGTTTTTTATTTGACAGTTCCTTGGAAATGCTCTTACCATTCCAAATTATTATAACACTTAAAGTTTTGACTGGACTTTCCAAAAAAGTTCTTTGCGTCAATGGAGTGTTCTCTCTCTTTATTCATTTGCCAAACCCTGATTTTTGAATGACGTTTAACCTTACTAATTTTTGTCATTTACCACCAGCAACCAAGTTGAATATGTAAGCATAAGCAACAACGGAGTTTTCCACGTCTTTTCATAATGCATGGACAATTACTCAAAAGTATGTGATGAGTAATAATATATTCCATCAGAACATCATATGCAGTAATTAATATTGCTAAACAAAATTAACCCAACTGATGGTTTCCTTTTAGAGATCTGTTTCTTAACTCAGAAAACTGTTTTCATTCTTTCCTCAACGATCGATTCCTATATTCCTTTGAGCTCTTTTTTCGTTTTTATAAGTGTTATTTGTATTGTAATACCATATATGCTTAGCATATGTAACAATAAGGAAGAAAGAGCTGAATGACGAATCTAATTTCACAAATTATAACTGGACAACCAAAAAACACAAAGCTTTCCTCATCTCACAACGTTAAGCAACCGATTTAAAGCGCACAAATGATGAGCAAACAATTAAGAAATTATATATACGGATGGGGCAAGTTACCTTAAATATACTTGTGATATAACGAGAGAACACGATGGTATGATTGATCATGGAACTGAAAGAAAGAACGTGATACCATCAAGAAAGTTACGGTTTCCAATCTCAAAATTAATTGGCAACAGCAGAGCATCCCAAATATCTTAATAAAACACAAATTTTGCATATATACAGGGATATAAACACATCACACCAAAACTCTCAGCCACATTAAGTGTCTGGAAGGTCGAATATCTACAGGGATATAAACACATCACGCCAAAATTTTACAAAGGATATCAATTCTCCCAGCACCTTATTTGAAGTCAGCTGGCTGATCATAAGTTTTTGTCAATCTCTGTTGGAGCTCAGACGTATCAATGCTTCTCCCATCACTCACCTGTGTATTTACACACCAAATATGAGGTATTGATGGAGAAACGTTCTCATGTCAGACTGCTTTGCTTTGAAATGGTAGTCGAAATTTGCAATCTGACAATATATAAGTATTTGTCTGGTAGCATAAGTACTCTTCTAAGAGAACTTTAGCCATGGTTGATAGACAAGATACTTTTTACACAAGCGATATTATAAAGGAGGGGGACTCAAAAACAGAAGATCTAAAGTACGTGAACCACTTGAGCTACAAACCCCCTTGCAGTAAGGATATTTAAGTAGCCAAGAAAAGAAAAGTGGCAAATTAAATCCCTAACTAAAGTCGAAGACTGTTGCCAATGATTCTAACCGTCATGGTGACATGTTATGTTACTATATTGTGTATCAAGACCATTGATTAGTCGGATTATGTCCGAATTCAGTACAAAGTGCTGATTAACAGTTGTATATATATCTCGAAATTTAACACAGATTATTTGAGAAAATTAACTAGCTAGCTACCGTACCTTGAGATATTCGAGGGGGAGTTGTGATCGAAGAGATGCATAAAGGGTGGCCATTTCTTGTCTTCTTTGTCGTTCAACGTCTCTATGCACGATCTTCTTATTGCCCTTCGGGTTTTCATCATCAAATTCACCAAAAGTGATATTGGATGAAGATATTGATGCCTTGCGCTTCTGCCCAGATTTTGGCCTGCAAGTGGGATCACGACCATCTTTAGATGGAGTCGGTGGAAGGGATTCATTTTCTTGAGTTGTGTGCTCTGTGTAGGGAAGTCAGGAGATTTGAAACAGCTCTTTATTTTCCATATATATATTTTATCCCCAACACAAGTCCTCGCAATGCAATTATTAGCCAATTACCGTCGATACTCCAACTACACCTTCTTTTGTGATTACAAATTGAGCTGATGCAGGGGCCAAATGTGGGGAAAAAACAACATGAAGTCTCCTTTGTGTTTGACTGGATATACTTGTTGAATGTGCATAAGGACTGTTAACCCCAACAGATTCCTCATGCCTTGACAAGAACACCCTTGAATTGACGCAATGTGCCCAAGCCAATCCCAATGCTGGACTAACCCGTCTGGCTGATGTATGCAAGCACTCCAAATTTCCCAATCTCACCCCATCTATTCCATCAGCTGGCCCAATGACATCCACCACCTGGTTGGTCAGAACCACTGCCACCCCAAACTTATTTGCCAAAGCCTTCAATTTCCCGGAAATCTTGAAAAACATTTCAGACCGGCATTTCAAATCAGCGGGTGTTCTGTTATATTGTGACCCGAACAATGCAGCAATGGAATCAATGACAATGAGCTTTACAGGTAACCGGGTGTGACCAATGCCCATAAATGTTTCTATGTCTCGAAGCACATGGACCATTTGTTGTGCATCATGAACGGCATGAACATATATGTCTTCCAATGGGTTCAACCCTATCAAGTTGGCATGTGATGCCTGATAATGGTTGGCTAGTTGCTGCAGTCGACGAAGTGGGAAGCTGAATTCTGTGTGTATGTAGAGGGAGGACCCTCCTAGTCCGCCATGTGAGGGTGGGAGCTGAGCTCTTACTGTTAGTTGGAGACAAACTTGGGTCTTTCCAGACCCGCTCTCCCCCACCAATTCTGTTATGGAGTTGCAAGGTATGCCGCCACCCAAGCAGCCATCTAGTATTGGGCATCCGATGCTTAATTTAGGGGTTGAAAGAGGAAGGACCAGGAGGTTTTGTGGTGTCATTTTTTCGAAGGAGTAGTAGAGGACCAAAACAACTCCCCTTAAACCTTTCCAACTGCTCTGAACTGAACTTCTCCTTAATTGCAGTAATGGCGGTCTTTGTGTATGACACGGACAATGCCTTTCCTTGAAACTTGTTCTTCTCCGCAATCATGAGCTTTACATTTGAACCCAATCTTCAAATCCCTGCACAACAAAATTATACATACGGAAATTAGATATACAAAAAGGTTGCGTCCCTCCAATCCATGCATTCATTCAGTTATCTTTCAAAACCAACACTGTCCTCCTACTCTAATATTCACTACTCAGTACAAGGAAAAGCTGTAGAGAGGACAAAAATGAGATGAATGCAATTTGCAAATAATATAGAACAATCCTTCAAGAAATTTAATGCACAGTTTGTTTGTAAACTCAAATATCTACAATAAAAAGTCCTATGAAATAGTAACAAGCAATTTGACATTGAAAAGTTATCCTTCTTCCATGTATATAAAACAGATAATAAACTGTATATGAGAAGCAAGTCCTTCAAGCTTATCAAGCAATCACCACCAAATTCAGTATGAAATAATCATAAACTGCATAATGGAAGCAAAAACCGATCATTCAATCACAGATACCAAAACAGATAATTCAATCATAATGGAAACACTAAGCCCATCACAGAAAATGGAAGCCAAAACAGAAACCCATCAATGGCTCAAAGAATTCTGGTGGGACATACGATTTGAGTTCAAAGTAACTACATCAATAATATGGTGTGATTAGAATAGTACTCTATGACTTTAGACTACAACCCTAACTTGCCATTCCACATTTTCGTAACATTTAATTATAAGATTAAAGTTATGACTGGACTTTGAACCCAAAAAAGTTCTTTGGGTCTGGAGTATTCTTTCTGTTCATTGATTTTTCAAACCCTGCTTTTTGATTCATCACTAATTTTGGTCATTTATCACCTGCAATTGCACTCTACTGGCAAGTTGAATATTTGATTGGGAAACTTTTACTTTTGCATTTCTAATAATATATTTCCATGTAACTTTTTATTTATTCATTTAAGTTCTAACTTCCTAGAATATGAACACATAAACAAACATTAAGCATATTCTTTCATTCACACATAACACCACCTCAAGCAGAAATTTTCCTCCTGTAACTTAATTTTCTTATTTTATATAAAAACCCCCATAAGGGAATGTTCATCCTAAACCCCTTGTTTTGCTTTCTCATGAACCAAAGAGCCAGATACAGCTAAATCCCCACAAAACCCACAACGCGTACATACGCAAGCAAAAAATAAATGCAGACACTCAAATTTGTACATATGCACCATTAAGACAATTACAAATTATGTACCTTGGCCTAAAGCGTCTGCTATTGCCATTGTTTGGTGCTCGAAAAGTCTCCGAGCCTTCTGGGTTTTTGGGGAGTCAAATTTGCTGAACACTGACGCCAGGTCTAATTTGGGAGTATCTGGGGATTCTAAAGCTTTCTTGAGATTTCTTCATCCAAAAAAAAATAAAAAAAGCTTTTCTGAGAGTTTGAGCTTCTGGATCGATATGGTTCGGCCCATATTCGTAAACAGAACAAACTATATATTTATTTGGCCCATAATCAAATAAATAATATTGTAATTGATGTTATCGATCCCTATTTTTGAGCTTAGTATTAAATTGTTAAAACCGATAAGGGTATATTTCAAATTTAAAGGCAACGGTGGACAAAATGATTTCTCTTAATAATAACTAACTTTTGAATAATTATATTTCCCTTATATACGGTGAAAGATGTTCTAAGTTTGAACTCCAAATTATCAAACAATTGTCATTGTTGTAAGCATTTGCTAATTTCAAATTATAAAATGTTTTATGGGAGAAAAAAAAATGTTTAGTGCTATTCTGTTTGGATGAAGGAATTGCAAATTACATAGAATTCTAAAATGACGGAATTTAGATTTCTGTCATTTCAATTTCTGGCAATTGAAGATTTTAGTGTTTGGATTTATGTATGTCGAATTTTGTAAATGACAGAAATTGAAAATTTCAATGTTTGGATAACTCATGTAAATTGTAAATGACATAAATTAAATATTTCGAAAGAACAAAAAAATGATAACCGACATAGAAGGTATTCCTCGAAATATAAAATAACATATCGTTTTATGAACTAAATAACTCAACTTAAACAAACAGAGCATATTAGCAAACCAAATCACTCCCCACATGCAATAAACATCAACAACATACTCTCGTTTTTCTCAATTGGGAGTGCCTTCAGCATCTAAAATTGTTTGTCATTTTCTATCAGCCAAGCACATGCTTTGAGTTGTTTATTTTCACTAAGACCTGGTACTGCTTGTACTTAAGCATATACCTCTGCTGGATCATGATTCTTAGTATTAGAATGGATAAACTCTTCAAATGATAAAGTCATTCTAGCAATCGAATCAGTAATAACATCTTTGATAACACCTCTTTTCTTTGTAGGAAGAATATCAGAAGAATTTGATGCACGATTTCTTCTCTTTTGACCATTTGTTGAGGTTGGTGAAATATCATCAATAACATGAATATCTTCTAAATCTTGTGGATCACCATCCAAATCAACACGATGAACTTCATTAGTAGGAGTCATAACCTCAGTTGCATCTGCAACTGTTTCAACACCCTCTCCAGTGGCTCTATCTTTGCCACACAAATCTACTATATTATCCCAATTTTCTATAACTTTTCATCGAAAACCTCTAGCATCATCATGAGACTACCAAACAAATAATCAAAGTCAAATAAGAAAGAGAGAAGACCAAAATCGATTTTCAGCAGCATATAACAATCAATAAAGCTTTTTGTTTCCTTACAGAGTATATAAAAAACTTTTCAGCAGCGTATGCTTTTTCTTCAGAGTAAGGAAACGAAGGGTAAAACTTGAATAAGGCGATAACACAAAGAGATAAAGCTAGCAAACAACTACAGAGTTGTACCATAAACACAAATCACACACCAATTTCCATGGGCATAGAGTATTTTGTTAAAACTTCCCAAAATCTAGTCATAGTGCCTCAAAGATCACAAAAACCATTCATAAATTTACTCAGAAATACCCAATTTTGATAGCCATTCAGAAACCATAGTAACCCTAAAATAGAAAAATATAAATTGAATGAGAGAAAGGCTTGAAGACTGACCTTCAAATTTTGGGGTAGGTCGACCTATCTGTTTTCTTATCTCCACTAGGAACATCGCACTGGAAATAGGATGGGAGTGGTGACCCTATCAGCCTTTTCCACTCGATAAGCTATACCGACGCGAAGATGGCTCCATACCCTGAAAAGCCCTATTAGAATCGAAACAGACCAATTACTAGATCCACCTATCATCGCTGGCATAACCATAAAAAAGATCATTAAAAAAGCGTGAGCCGTTATTAAAACATTATAAAGTTGATGATTACCACCAAGAATTTGATTGCCCTTAGCCCGAAACTCGTTCCTAGCATAGACTTAACTTCTTCTTTCTTAGCGCCTCATTTTTACGGGTGAGCAAACCATCTATCTTGATTTCCCTACGGAATTGAATTCCAGGGCCTTGACTTTCACTCCTTTCCTACTTGAGATAGGTCTTATCCTTACTTGACTGCCAATCCGCTTGAACATTGAACTGACTTACTCAACAACTTCCCCGCTGTCCCCTTTCTCCATTCTATAGAAATGGAATCTCAAGTTGAACTAAACTTATTTACTGGATTGTGGGTCAGTCAAGTAACGAGGAACGCTAGTAGGAGTTTCCGTCCCTGCTGTCCTTAGTGAACGTGAATCTTGAAAGCAGTCTAGGAGCAAATTCGGTAGGAGTTGCTTGCCCAGTCAGAAAGCTAGGATCACAGTCTCTGTCCACTCTAAGGAAGCCCCGTCTCAGGCGAAGGTTGCTCCGTATTCTCTTCTTTCATAGAGCCTCTCTCCGTGGAGGAATGAATGAAGGTAACTAAGCGCAAGGAATGAATGAGCTCATCTCGTTAAGAATGAGGAGCGAATGATCAAATCAAGTTCCAATCTCAGTCTAAGTTACCCAAGATCCAGTAAATATAGGAGGAATTTCTAAGATAGGTACGTTGTCAGCGAGGGTAATATGGAATATTACTTTAAATAGGCGATCAATTCCATGTGAAATGAAAGGGGCAAGCCCCGGCTCAGTCGTCGAAGGGATAATGTAATTATGTTCTTTTATCCCCGGCGCAATTCGTGGGCAAAGGCAAAGGCGTAGAGCTCAACAAAGACAGTCTCGGCTCAAAATAAAGTTCGAGCCAAAAAAGAATATTGAATATGAGTAGGAAGAAGTGGTGAAAGGCATCATCCGCAGGCAAGGCAGAGGCGAGCACGAGGAGATGTAGATCGGAATAAGTAATCCACCATCGTAATCGTACCGTACAGTTTCGGAAAGGAATAGGCTTTATACTAGCTATATTGATAGAAGAGGTAGTGAATCTTACCGGCGAGAAAGCAATATACACGACCAACTCTCATCTGGAGCAACCTTCTCTCCCGCTTGATAGCAGTCTGTCGGTCTCAGTCCGGTAGACCGTATTGTTGTTCTTCGGTGCAAGTTCCTCGTCTCTAGTCTGGTTTTCATTATCAATCCAATAAGGTTCCTCCTAATAATGACTCTAGTTAGACTTCTTCTATGATGTTTATGAAGATAAGCATTCGGTATCCTTCCTTTATCTAGGCGGGTAGGTTAGTCAAGGTAAGCGCATTCACAGATTCTGCATGAAAGGGGTAGTCCTGGTTCCGCTGAGTAAGGCAAAAACTCGTAGGTGGGACTCTTTCTTTCATTTGAGTAGTAGTTCCTTAGGAGAGCTTCGAAGATCAATCAAAGACAGCTTTAATAGATTAATAGATTCATTCTTGCTTCTTCACCTTTCTGCCTTCCATTAGGATGTCTCCACGAACATCTGCGTTCGCCAATACTTTGACATCCTCTGGACCGAAAAGCACATAGTGCCCAGCTGCTGTAATCTGAGGAACCGATACCAAGTTTTTCTTCATTCCCGGAACGTGGTAAACGTTCTCCAAGACTTTGGATCCTCCTTTCATGGGCGAAATGGGCAGGTCACCCACATGCTCCACTGGATGTACAGTGTTGTCCGCCGTGACAACTGCATCGTTACCTTTGTACTTTTGTAGCCTTAGGAACTTACTCATATCACCAGTGATGTGAGCAACCGGAATCCACTATCCAATCGGTCTCGTAGTTGATTCCATCATTCAATACACACGGAGAAGAGAAGAGGGAAACACCTATACTCTAATAAAAGGAGGAAACACTCTTTCTAAAAAATCCACAACCCAGCCC